CCAGTGTAGTGGTTTCTTTAGAAAACTAAAGCTAGATCTTCCTGTGACCTGGATGGAAGACAGCACCCGAGAGGCTTGCACATCAGCGTTCGTCACAGTAGCTAAGCGATGCAACCAGCCTAGGTACCAGCAACACAGGGATGGAGGAAGAAATGTGCTCTCTACACACAATGGAAGTTTTTCGTTCATAAATAGGAATGAAGTCATTTGTAAGAAAATAGATATGACTGGAGAGGGAATCAGATTAAGTAAATTCATTTAGTATCAGAAACACAAATATTGAGCCGGGCGGTGGTGGCACACGCCTTTAATCCCAGCACTCGGAAGGCAGAGGCAGGCGGATCTCTGTGAGTTCGAGGCCAGCCTGGTCTACAAGAGCTAGTTCCAGGACAGGAACCAAAAGCTACAGAGAAACCCTATCTCGAAAATTCAAAATTCAAAAAAAAAAGAAAGAAAGAAACACAAATATTGAGCCGGGCGGTGGTGGCACACGCCTTTAATCCCAGCACTCGGGAGGCAGAGGCAGGTGGATCTCTGTGAGTTCGAGACCAGCCTGGTCTACAGAGCTAGTTCCTGGACAGGCTCCAAAGCCACAGAGAAACCCTGTCTCGAAAAACCAAAAAAAAAAAAAAAAAAAAGAAAGTGCCACGAGAAAGCCGGGCGGTGGTGGCGCACGCCTTTAATCCCAGCACTGGGAGGCAGAGGCAGGTGGATCTCTGTGAGTTCGAGACCAGCCTGGTCTACAGAGCTAGTTCCTGGACAGGCTCCAAAGCCACAGAGAAACCCTGTCTCGAAAAACCAAAAAAAAAAAAAAAAAAAAGAAAGTGCCACGAGAAACCTGCTATTGCATAGAATTATGTTGTGCTCATAATTTTTACATGTCTATAGAGTTGAAAGAAATGAACATAATGCCCAACCAGGATTGCCCATCAAGGCTCTCTGAAAATGTATAGAAACTATAGTCAAAGAAATAGCAATGAGTTCAAGGAAAATAAGACTTTTTTGGTGTTATGAGTGTTTGCCTACGTGATACATACATACATACATACATACATACATACATACATGCATACATACATCTCTGCCTGGTGCCCACAAAGGCCAGAAGAGCATGCCATCTCTCCTGGAACTAGTGTCAGATGGTTTTGATTCATCATGTGGATACTGGGAATGAAACTCTGGTCCTCTGCAGATCAGCAAGTGCCCTTAAGTGCTAAGCCATTTCTTTGGGCCATAGAAATTCTGAATATTAATCTTTTCAGATTGTGAGGAAATATTGATTCAACAAATGCCTTTGAGACAATTAAATAACCATATGCAAAATAAAATGAAACTCAACCCTTGCCTCATACCTCATACATGAAATTTATGTAGAAGTAGAGCGTAGCTTAACTATAATAGCTAAAACCAAAATCTCTCAAAGTACAGAGAGAAATCCTTATGGCCTTAAATTAGATAGGATGCAATAACTGGGAAAATATTTGTAAATCACACATTTGATCACAAATGTTTATTTAGAAGATATAAAAGCAGAAAGCCTACAAAACACATATGTGACTAAAGATTTAGGTCCTGAAGGTATAATTCTTAGACCTCATTATCTGTAATCAAACAAAGAGCTTTGAGTAGATACTTTACCAAAGCCATACAAATGGTAAATAAAACATAAAAAGAAGCCCAACCTTGCAAGTCACTGGGGAAATGTAATATAATGTCTCAGTGAGAAGCCAGTTATAGTAGCTCAATCTTGTAATTCCAGCAATTGGGAGTCCTGGGTTACATAGTGAGTCCCCGATCAGTCAAGGCAACGGAGTAAGACCCTGTTTTAAAAAAACGAAGTCTTAGTGAGAGGCCACTTCTAAGAATGGCTAAGAGTTAAAGGAGCTTGAAAATGAAGTCAAAGAAGGGAACCCTCGTGTTTGCTTCTGAAAGGCTGAAAATACCACAGTTACTTTGCCACACAACTTGGCGGTATCTACTAATGCCACAGCGTGCATTTAACACGCGATGAAATGATTTCATGTCTAGATACACAGACTGGAGAAATGTCCACAAGAGCCTTTAATGTGGACATTCGGAGTAGTCATATTTATAGTTTATACAGCTGAATAAACTATACGTATTTATAGTTTATTCAGGTTGAATGGACAAGGTTGATTTACGGATGAAGTGTGGTTCGTTCATATAACAGAGTAAGCAACTGACTAATATCACACGAGACATTTGTAGATCTTAAAAGCATTGTGCAGAGTGTAGAAAGCAGGTTTTAAAGGCCTTGTGATCTCACTGCAGGCCATTTCAAAGAATGCAGCCCTGCAATGACAGAAAGCACACCGGAGCTGTGGGGGCTGGGAATCAAGGGAAGAATTGATTGGTGAGGGGCCCAACAACGTTTTAAAAGCTTTTTTGGGAAGTGGGAGAGGTGGTAGTTTGGGACAGGGTTTCTCTTTATAGTCCTGGCTGTCCTGGAACCCTGTAGACCAGGCTGGTTTCAAACTCAGAGATCCACCTGCCTCTGCCTCTGCCTCCTGAGTGATGGGATTAAAGGTGTACGCCACCACTGGCAGGCAGAAGGAATTTTAATTATGTGTATTTACGTATGTCTGTGTGCATGTGAGTGAGGGCATCCCCAGAGACCAGGAGAATGCGCAACATCCCATGAAGCTAGAGTTATAGGGGTTGTGAGCCATCTGATGTGGATGCCGGAGACTGAACTGGAGTCCTCTGTAAGAGCAGTATACACTCTTAATTGCTGAGCCATCTCTACACCTCTCCCCTAGCCTCACACCAACAGAAGTTTTTTTTTTTTTTTTTTTTTTTTAGGATAATGGCAGTACTCTATATCTTGATTTTTATTTCATTACACAACATGACCAGGTATACTATGGGCAAAACTCATCAAATTATATAGCTTAGATGATGAAGAATGGGGCTGGTACCATTATGAATCTCTGAGATCCTAATCTGTGGTCAGAACACCAGAGACACATAACGTGAAAACACAGATGTGGACTCTTACTATGTGGAAGTCTAGAGCTAAGTGTGAGAAGCGGCGGAGAGTTAAGAAGTAGAAGCCTTTGGAAGGTTGGGAGTGGAGATGGCGGTTAATCACATATTCTAGCTTCAGTAAATATCAAAATTATGATTTTTTTTGGAAGTGAAAATATTTGAGATGAAAGGGTGCTTCAATCTAGTGGAGAAAAATGTTTGCAATACCAAAACATCTCAGACCAATAGAAACTAAAACCCAGTGATTCTTTCTTTTTTTTTTTTTCTTTTGGTGCAATTAGAACCTTCTAGGTATAGGAAACTCCGTCAGGCCCATAGCTACATCCCACAGCTTCGGTGATATTCGATAGGGCCTCACCACAAGGTCTTTGTAAGCAGCTGTAGATTTCAAATAAACCGTGTCCAGTCTGCAAAGTACATTGTTTCCCCGAAGAGAGTGCGCACACAGACTCGGCTATCTCAGTGTGCTGAGTTACGCACTGTGACTTTTGCACTCTTCTGTACATCTGGTATACTTCAACAGTTTCTTATCCCATGTATTGTGTGTGTTTGTACACATCGGTGTGAGGGCGACAGCACACGTGGGAGTTAGAGGATATGACTTCACACATACACATAATAATATAGAAAACAATATATTTTATATTATGTATAATAATATTCACATGCATATCTAGAAAAGGGCATTACTCTGTGGCGTAGACAAGAAAAAGCTTTTAGTATTGCAGAGGACCTGAGGAACAAGAGACATCATCTAATTTTGATTCTTGTATCATACACATTAACAATGAATCAAACGGCAAAGACCATTTTGAAAACACTTGCTTATGGCAAAGTTCATTCCAGATTTTGGGCTGCCTTTTCTGGACGGTACTTCAGCAGAGCCTGGGGACTGGCCAGCTGATGAAAGAACAGAGACCTCTTAGTTTAGCAGCTTGGGTTTGGAGTAGAGAGGCTAAAGCCCCATTCGGCCCTACAAGCTAAACCATGGAGCCATGCCTCCACGAAGAATGTTCTAGGTTTGTTTGAGACAGGTTCTCTCTCACTGTGTAGCCTGGGCTGACCTCAAGCTCACGATCCTTCTGCCTCAGTCTCCTAAGTGCTGGGATCGCAGGTGTGCACTGCCATGCCCACCAAAGCGTTGCTAGGAATTTGTTGCTGGGGGTTGAACCCAGGGCCGTTGACATGCTAAGCAAGCTCTGAACTGTTGAGTCCCAGCACAGCCCTTCACTTTTCATCAAATACTTCTCCTATGGCCAGGCGATGGTGGCGCACGCCTTTAATCCCAGCACTCGGGAGGCAGAGGCAGGCCGATCTCTGTGAGTTTGAGACCAGCCTGGTCTACAGAGCTAGTGCCAGGACAGGCTCCAAAGCCACAGAGAAACCCTGTCTCGAAAAACTAAAAAAAAAAAAAAAAAAAAAAGAACTTCTCCCATGAACCTGACACTGAGATACAAAAAGATAGGAAAGAGCAGGGCAGAAACTCCGACCTTGTGGAAGCAGAAGTCACTGAGAAGAGAAAAGGGAAGGAGATGTGGAGTCCATTCTCCTTCCGCATCCGCTTGTTTTCTGTTCTTTATAAACAGGATGAGGTCACGCCTCTTGTTTTGTCAAGTCACAAATCTAGAAAACATGTTTTTTTTTAAATAAAACTAAACAAAGTATTAAATACTTTTTGGTAAAATGTTCAACTCCACACCTCCGCAGCTCTTCTGTCTTCTTTCCATTCCTTCATTTTTGGCTTCCAAAAAGACATAGACAAACTGCTAAGCTGACGCGTGCAGGCCATAGTAGGACTCCTCCAGACAGCCCCACTGAGGTGCTGAGTTTCCAAAGCTTGGACAGGGGCATCAGAGAGCATTTTGCCCCACAACACAAGAGTTTTTTTTTCCCCTTTTCTTTTTTTTTTTTTCATTTTTTCTTTTTTTGGAGGGGGGAGGTGGGTGAGTTCTGAGAAAGGGTCTCTCTACACAGCCTTGGCTGTCCTGTAACTGACGAGATAGACTAGGCTGGCCTTGAACTCCCAGAGATCCAACTGCTTCTGCCTCCTGAGTTGCTGGGATTATTCCTGGTACGAGGGAGTTTCTATTCCTGACTACGGGTAAATGCGCTAGCATTGACGAGGTGAAGGGAGGAAGACTGCAAACGAGAGCCTTGTCTACTGTGTATCACGAGTCCGACACTCCTCTGAGGCTACGCTTCGAAACCCATTCTTCAAGGACATTCTTCCAGCCCTGTACCATACCACAATGAGGGGAGGGAGGGCTGAGTCATCTTAAAGGGCAGAGGTTGAGAAACATTTCGTTGTTGAAGTGATCCAAGCCCGCGCAGGCCATCTCTTCATCAAAATCCCACTTGCTGCTCTTGCTGGGCAGTGAGTATTGCTGCTGAGGCTGAGAGCCATAGGTGAGCAGGAAGGGGTCCTGCTGAGGGGGGTGGTACGTGAGGGAGGGCGCGTAGCCGCTGAAATCCATAGGTACTTTCTCTTCATAAGGTTCGCCGCCTGGGTTGGACCACAGCGGATGACAAGCAGATTGCACTGCAGCTGCTTCCAGTGGAATCTGTTGGGGAAAGTGCTCCAGAGAGTTCTGGGGGGGGAAGAAGTCGCAGGGCCAGCTGGTCACAGGCAGAGGATAGTTGGGGTAGCATGCGTCATCGCTGGGATTTCTCCCGAAGGTAGCACTTTTATTCCAGGCTTGCAGATCGTCGTAATCCGTGTAGACCCCGGGGCCAGCAGACTGAAACTGATCTTCACTGCCGTAGATCCTACTGCTGGGGAATTTGCACTTCTCATAGAGCAGAGTGGGGTCCAAGGTGGAAGCTGGATCTTCCAGCTCAGTGGTTCCCCCCAAACTGTAGCTCTTGGGGAAGGATAGGCAATCATTCAGGGAGTTCTGCTGGGGAGTGTTAGCTATTAAAGATGTACTGTAACTGCTAGGCAGTTGGACGCCTTCCTGGAATGACCAAGTTAAAGGTAAACTTCCCTGACTTGGTATTTCACCGGGAAGAGCCTGGAAAGGGAAATGAACACCCGCGTTAATAAGTTAAGCGAATCCACATGGCTACCCCAGGCACCCCTGAGTTATTCTGCAAATATCCCTTGATAAGATCACGTTCATTCCTGGCATACTCCGACCATAGGTACAGCCTCTCCACAGCTGCTGGGACCCGGCGAGGGGAGACTGACTCCTGCGCCAGTTTACAACGTCCTAACCTGTGAAGAGCCCGGTACACTCCGGGGACACACTGGCTGTTTAATGTGCTTCAGATAGCATATAGCTAACTGCCTTTTTGCAACATTTATAGGAGGCTATCTAACAAACAACACACACACACAGAATCCCCGAACAAAACAGCCCTGCAGGTTCCCAGAGTTATGCTATCCTGGTACAGCTCTCAGGGCCATCAGTCAGGCCCACATCCACCTCTTCCTTTGCCGTCTCTCCCGCCTGGCCTGGGCCAGTGCCTAGTGTGAGAGATCACGGTATTGTTGAGCTTAATTGGTTTTCTCCTTTAGAGACTTTTCTCTGAGCTCATGGAAACTACACAGAATAGAACATAAACTGGTCAGCGCTAATTTCTTTATGTAGATGGAGTAACTATATTAGACCTGAGAAGAAGCTGCTGCTAGGTCTCTCTTACATGGTTCATTATGTAAACTCTCCCCTCAAAGAGGATAGTCTGAGCGGAGGAGAGAAAGATTCTGTCCAAGTAAGGCGTCAGAGATGCACCGGGGCTGAGATGAAGGGCAAGGGCCAGTTGTGGGGATTTGGGAGCTCAGGTTCCGTGTCACAGACTAAATCATGATTCCTTCTAGATAAGGTACCCTTAAAGCTCTCCAAGTGAGAATTATCACTGTATCAAACAGACAAGCCTGCTCTGCTGTGAAGCCCTTGCAGCACTGGGTTTTTTGACACAGGCCACGCTCGCCTCTACGGCTGGGGGGGTTATCATTTGCAGAAACTTCTTTTTATTTTCCCCCTTTAAAAAAAACAGAGTCTCACTATCTAGTCCAGGCTGGACTCCGACTCTGCATCCTGACTGCTGGTATATCTCTGTCCCCAGAGCTGGGATCACACTAGAGAGCATCCAGCTTAACAGCAGTCTGGTTATTTAGATTAACAATTCTCAAACTGTGGGCTGTGACCCCTTGCGGGTCGCGTATCAGATGTCCTGCATCTCAGGTATTTGCATTATGATTCATAACAGTAGCAAAAATTAGAGGTATGAAGTAGCAATGAAAATAACTTTGTGCTCATCACAGCATGAGGATCTGTATTAAAGAGTCACAGCATTAGGAAGGTTGAGAACCACTGATTTAGAGGAAACTGCTCAGACACATTCAGGGCCCTGTGGCCGTAGACCACTTGATTATTTTGACAAGCTAAGAAACCCATCTGTTCTAGGGATTTGGAAACGTGAAAACAGAAACTCCAAAAGCATAAGGCTGATAACATTTTGTGGAGATTATTTAGATCAATTCTGATTTTATTGGAACTAAAATATAGAGTTGCCAAATATAGGTTAGATACTGATTCAAGCTCCTTTTTAAAACTTATGATGAGTCTATGACCATACTGAATATTTGCAAGAAGCCTGTTTCAAATGTGGTGAAAAAGATATCTCAGATTTAGTTTGTCCAGTGGATGCTTGCTTATAGATAGGCCAGATAGAAGAATGTCGGCTGCTTTCATTGGTCAGTAAAAGACTGGGGCCATCTACCATGCCCATTGCAGGGGTGAGGCCTCCATGCATGGGCGAGCACATTTAGGGCAGCTGACCTTAGTTTCCGGGCTCCCCTTCATCCGCAAGGAGCCAGAGGAGGATGCCATGTGCACCTTCTTCATTGCTCTTCTCGCCTCTGCTTCTAGTTTGGTCTCTGGCTTGGGATGGTCATGTTCTCCTTTTGACTGGAGAGAGAGGCAAAGTAGGAGAAATGAAGCAAAACTTAGTAACGGGATTGCACTTCGCGGGGCGTGGCTTTTGTTCTCCGTCCCGTCCTCTCTCCTTGGTGTTAGCAAGGCCGCCTGCTCCGGCAGAACTCTTCCCAAGCCCACCGAGCTCATGCCTGCCTCCTGGCCTGTGAGGTCTCTTCCTAGGTCTGTCTCCTAGGCTGTCCTCGAAGTGTCTGATAGTCATGCTCATCCTTCTCCCGCTTAATCTTTGGTGCAAGTCTTACATACGTACGGCTATTACCTCTCCAGTTGACAGAGTAAGAAACTGGTGAGACCTAGAGACAGGGTGCCATCTAGATAACCTCTCTTAGTGGCGCTGGATTTCCACAGCCAAGCTGGGAGTGAAACCTTCAGCCCTTGCTTGAGCTGGCGTTAACTGGCTGGTAGCTGACGTTCAGCTGCTGTGGGAACAGCCGAATCACATCTTGGGAGAGCTGATTTGTCAGCCCTCCATGGGCACTCTGACGCCAGAGCCTACTCCTCACCTGTCTACATCCGGGCCCCACTAGCGGTCCTTACAAACCCTGCAGAAAGCCCGGGTTTCCGGGAGGAATCAAATTGTTTCTGTGGGCAGCGCTAGTGCTGCTGAGTCAGCTGGGGCTGTGGAAGGTCACGAGCTGAAAGCTAGGCCTCCTCTCTCAGGGGTGGAGGCACTCAGCCTTCCAGGGTTTCCAGGGCTCCGTAGGGCGTGTGGGCATTTGCTCTCCCAGAGGGTGGGCACAGTCTCATAGACCCCTACACCCCCAACCACTGATAAACATGGTAGACACCTGGCACCGGAAAGAGAAGTCGAGTAAATAACTCAAATCCAACCTGGAAAAATATGAAGCGACCGTCGTGCCTCCAGAAGTTGGTGACCGGAAAGCCCCCGTGGCCGCGGCAGGGAATGAGCTTCAGAGGACCATTGCAGTTGGGACAGCACTTCCCTAGAAGAAGTATAGAAGGCAGCTGACTGGACCACCCGGGCTGAGTCTGGGCTGCCCTGCTGGCTGTCAGCGTTGGTTCTGGGATAGTCCCGCACCGTCCCTGCTGCTCCCTTCGGCTGGATCTAACCCGTGACCAGCATTCTCTCTACCAACGGCCAGCTGGGCTCACACACGGACACACTCAACAGCTGCCTGGCCGGTGCGATTATTTTACAGGTCAAAGCACTCCGAAGAACAAAAGTTCCCCCTACTTATTTCCTAATATTAAGTATTCTTTCTAGAGAAAAAGTATTTTATTTCATCATTAGTAACTCAGATTTAAGGGGCAAAGCCACAAGGGAGAGAAAGAACACCATCAATAAATTTCCACTCGGTTGTAAATGATTGAGAGGAAGTTTGGAACACACCCTGGGAAAGAACACGAAGTAACTCAAGGTGTAACTTGTGGGTTAGGCACGGGAAGACTGGGAGCATCTATTTCACAATCCAGTGAGTATGATATAGACAAGGGAGAGCAAGCATCTCCATGGTAACAAGGGCACAAATCTAAACGGGCAAAACTGAGTTTATAAATTCATTTGTGCCACTCCCAAAGACTGTGTTCACTGAGCTCTCCCAGGGGACTCAGGGGCCATGTAGCAAGTCTGTGAACCAATTTCTCCTGAACTTTCCATGATCCGACCTCTCTCCCAAGCAATGGGGGTCTTCATGAGGGGGCTCTGCACATGGGAGGCCTCACAGGCAGAGATGGGGGATGATGGGTGCCTCCCTCTTAGTGCTCCATCAGAATGCCTGGCCTGTCACCTAACTCCAGAGGGAGGACTGACTGGGCCCCTGGGACATGTCCATCCTGGCTGGAGCATCTGCACAGACTCCCGGCCTCCTGCTGCTGCTCCCAAGCCTCACTCACTCTGCTGTTTCTGCCTGGCTTTGTCACAGATGGCGGGTCTCAGGTAGATCTTGCGGCCCTCCTCGGTGGAGCAATCCCGGCTGCACACCACCACTCCCAGGCACGACTTCTTGAGGATGCGGGAATTGTGGTTGTTGGTGTTCCGCATGGCCCAGCTGCTCAAGTGGCGCTGGGCGTTCCTGTCCTCTGAGCTGTAGATGTGTTTCACATAGGAGTCCGGCCACTCCTGGAACCAGTCAGTCTTTTTCACATTCTGAAGGAAACACAAAGATTCTGTTACAGTTTCATCCAGAAAACCCACCGTCTGCCGCTGTAGAGTTGATAGATGTAAAAGATATCTGGGCCGGAACAAGAGGCCATTGGAAGAGCCTTACCTGATTTTAGTCCTGGTGGTGGAATCTGGGAACACTAACAGTGATTCTCAACCTTCCCAGTGCTGTGACCCCTTAATACAGTTCCTCGTGTTGTGATGACCCCCAACCATAAAATTAGTATTATCGTCATTAAAATTATTGCTACTTCATAACTATACTTTTGCTGCTGTCATGAACCGCAGCGTATCTGTGCCTTCTGAGGGTCTTAGGTGACCCCTGTGAAAGGGTCATTCGATCCCTAGAGGGGTCGTGACCCGAAGGTTGGGAACCTCTGGCAGCACAATGGTGGCAAAGCGTCTGCTGTGTCTATCAAGCTGTGTCTCTTGCAGCAAGATGAGCTAGAACTTAGCCCTTCTGAATTCTGCTGTTTCTCCAGTCCTTGGTGACAACAGTAACGGCCACTTCTCAGTGAGAATTTTGCGGGTGGAGTAGTTTTGCCTTGCTCTTTCCTAATGACTACGGAAAGAACAGTGAGATAATGACTCAGACCACACTGGTTGCCATGCTGGGAATCACAGTCGCCAGGCAGGCAATGCAGAGCTCTGGTTTGGAGAGGTCTGGAAGCACACGTTTCCCTCCATGGGCAGTTTCCTTGTTGTCCTCTACTCCCAGACATGCAGAGGACTCCGGATGAGCCTGTGTGCTTCCCTGCACTGCCTTATTTCATGCATGTGAACATCTAACTGGACTCTGTTGTGCAAGGTCAGAGCTGTGGCTCAGGGGGTCTCGAGTTCCGATTCGGCAAGAGAAGCAGCTCTGGCAGCAGTGGGTGGCGGCGGCCACTCAGGTGTTGCAAAGCAGCTGTGGTGGCAGCTCTCAGGCTAAATTTTGAAGCACAATATAATTACCCTAAAAAGAGGTCCCTAGAGCCTAAGTCGCTTTGTTTGCTGTTCTGTTCCTGCATGTGTAAAATATGGACGATGAGACTCTCCTACTGCAGGAGTTCTGAAGATTAAATATCATGCGTGTAAAATACTAGTCGCAGCCTCAAGCAAGCTGTAGGCTGGAAACAAACGTAGTTGCTGGGTGCAGCTCATTTTGCCACAATTGTGACTGATGTTGCCTGTGAGAGATCCTGCCTAGCTCCTAGAGGCAGAATCATCCTAGGTTGACCCTGTGCCCATCATCACGACTCTCAGAGACCTGACACAGAAATAAGAACAGTTTTCATTTTGACGATTCTTCAAGGTCATGGTAGAAGACTCTGGGAAAACCAGAAAAAGAAATCAAGCTACCAACTCTTTGCTTTTTCTACAAGAACAAACAACACAGAACGTAAGTAAGCTAAGCCAAGGAATGTCTGAAGAGAAACGGAGGCAAACACCAGTGCTGGGATGTGTGAGCAATCCCCCTGGGTTAGACTGCTGTCCTAGAGGAAGGGGTTCAATAAATCAAGGCCTATGTTGCTGGAGGCGCCCCCTGAGGCCCAGTGGGCAGCTACAGTACCTCTCTATTGATAAGCACAGCCAGGGAAGCTGAGCCCGAATATCTGCTCCTTCGTGGGGGTCTATGGCCTTGATGTAGTTCAGGGTCCGCGTGAGAAGCCCTCTGTAACCTCAACACCTGCCAACTTTTTTTTCTTTTTCCTTCTGACTGAAAGTGTAATCAATGCTTCCAGCTTTCCATCTCAGAAAAGCATAGCAGAGTATGTTAGTTCACTTTTAAAAGATTTATTTTAGCTTTGGATGATGCATTTGTGTGGAGAGTGGTGTGTGCACGTGAGTGCCGGCACCGAGTATGGGTGCTGGGAACGGAACCTAAATCCTCTGCAAGAGCACTAAGCACTCTTGATTAACCTCTGAGCCATCTCTCCAGCACTAAGTATTTTACTTTTGAAATCATCAAAATGCAGATTAAAACACTAAAATACATATTTGCCTTTAATCATTTTAACTATAAAGAATTGGTGGGCTTGATTTGTATTATCCTTTAATACACACAGGTATCAAGACGAAGAGAGACAGGGGGTTAGATACTTATAGGAAAGCAGGGATTTCTGTGCAAATGCCCCCCACACCCACTCCCGCAAAGGTCAGAACTACGGAGCCATGAGCCAGGAGAAGTGAAATGTATCCACAAGAGCCCTCTCACACTCTGACCAAAGCAAAGACTTCATGTGTGTGAGGAGGAGGTGACTCTCAACGCCTTTGAAGCTATTTCTTCCCAAATGGCACCCCCGACACCCTGTTTTCTACTTCCCTTAGTGGGGCAGTAGTGTATGAAGGGAGGGTCTACTAGAGGGAAGCATGAGCCCACGAAGCTCTTCTCTTGGTTGTTGTTTATTTATTCTGTCATTTTCATGGACCATCAGTGGAATGTTTGGCAACTTTTTATATTAAAATTGGAATGATGGTGGCTCCAGATGCTCCAAACGTCCAAGAATCAGAAGAGCATAGGGAGGGCATTTTTGAAAGCCCATATAATTCGCCACCAGGGACATAAAATTTTAAAACTGAGAACACTGATTCTTAACCTTGCTAGCAATTCCCAGAAAAATGCTCCCTCCTTTTAGAACCTTTGTTAATTTAATTTCTAACTTTTCATAAAATGCTTTCTTCTTTTTAGACACTTTGTTTACTTTAATTTCTAACTTTTCATGAGTAACTCTTTGTTTTTGCTCTTGGTTAAGAAGTTTATAATTGAAAGGGAACATCTTTAAGTTTTTCAACCTGTCACATCTAACAAATCTATATTTTATCATCTCGGGAAGCATCATTAGGAATTTAATTGATCTTCCTATGATTTATCAATACTTCTAAACAAAAAATTTAATCCTATAATTTACTCAGTACCTCTTAGCCGTATGAGAACACAAGGACACTCTTTATATGACTTTTGTTTTAATTTAATTTAGTCATTTGGAGTTTTAATAGGCCATTGTAAAAATTATTTATTACTATTATATAAAACTAATAAAATCAAATTCTTAAGTAAGATATCAAAATATTCATATTATGAGTAAGGTGAGGTGGATTTCACCTATAATTCTAGCAGCTGAAAGGCTGAGTCCTAAGGGTTGTTTCCAGGCCAAGGCCAGCCTGGGCTACAATGAGAGACTATTTCAAAAAAAAAAAGAAAGAAAGAAAGAAAAGAAAAAATAAAACCAAAAATTTTACATCAGGTTATTACATTAAATTCATTTTCATTCTTAGTATAGTCTACTCTTTTTTTTCGAGACAGAGTTTCTCTGTGTAGCTTTTTGTTGTCCTGGAACTCGCTCTGTAGACCAGGCTGGCCTCAAACTCACAGAGATCTTTCTGCCTCTGCCTTCCACGTGCTGGGATTAAATGTGCCACCACCGGCTGACAGTATAGTCTACTCTTGTATAAAGAAATTGTCTTCCAGCATAAATAATTTATTATGCATTACTCCTTTATATTAGTATTGCCAAACAGAACAAGAATAACACACACACACACACACACAAGAATGCACGCACGTGTGCGCAAACAAGGGCTCATCTAGCCCAAGTTAGTTTTAGACTCACTATGTAGCAAAGGCTGGCCTTTTCCTAGGGTCATGGAAATACAACACAATACTCATTCCCAGCTTTTCAAACACCTTAAAAGAATCAGTTAAAGAAAAGATTATATGTTGCTAAAAACAAAACAAAATGTCAGGTGTGGTGGCACACACCTTTAATCCTAGCATCCAAAAGGCAGAGGTAGACAGAACTCTATGAGTTCAAGTCCATTTTGGTCTTCATAGCAAGTTCGAGGCCAGCTAAGGTTACATAGTAAAACCCTGTAACAACAGCAACAGTAACAAAAGACAACAAAATAGACTCTCACTTTGACCTTACAGATAACTTTTTGATGTGAATCTGCCTCTTCCAGGTCAACTATAGATGGATGGAATTCTAAATGTCGTCATGCTTCAACAAAGGTCTTTGCATCAGGAATTGCTAGCAATCCTGCTATTTCCCACCTGAGGAGAGAAGTTCCACATTGCTAGGTCAAGTTCCAGCTTTCACACTCTCTTTCACTTCCAACTCCTCTCTTCTCCCTTCCCTTCCCCGCTCCTACCTCTCAAGCAAAAGATGTGTGATGGGCGAGAGCCCATCATCACAGATGCAGGAATGCCCCCACTGCCATCGCACCGCACCGGAAGCTCAGGGTGGTAGAACCCCAGACCCAACGACAAGGTCTCCTCAGGTAACCACTGGTGTCCATGTAGTCCCAAAAGAGCTTGGGGGTCAAGTAGGAGGCAGACAGAGAGGGTGAAGTGACGAGTGTCTGCGTGAGAGACAACCTGACATAGCCTTGCAGGATAATAGTAATTGATGAAGGATGCAGAATCGGGTTTGCCCGTTGCCTCTTCCATGCCTCCGCCCATCTGATTGATTGTGATTTCACGCAGGCACCTGGCTCTACAGAGAGTTCAGACAGCCACAGTTTGGGGCTCATCCTCTGTGAAGGCAGAAGGAATTTTGCCGGCTAAAATCTTGGTCCAGCCATGAACTAATTGGAGTTACAGCCCCTTGATACCCAACTCCGCTGTTATAAAGAATGCTTTCTCTGTGAACTCAAGCCTTGGAACTAGGTTGACGGTACAGCCCAGTGGTAGCCTGGAGCCCTGTGTTTGCCCGCAGTCCTACAGATCAAAACGGACTTAGTTAGGCATCATGAAACTTGAAATCTCAGCGAGGGCAGAAGCAAAAGGATCTTGAATTTGTAGCTACCCTGAGCTACATAGTGAATTCAAGTCCAGCCTGGGCTACATAGTGAGCTCTAGCCTCAAAACAAACAGACAATCAAAATAACATCAGGAACAACAAAACCACCAACAACAAAACAGCCAGATTGGAAGCAAGAGAGTAAATGCCTTAGTGTTGTTTTGGCCATGGGTTTGACCTGGCAACTGCCCAGTGCTCGGCAATAAAATGATTAAGGTGTCTGTGGTGTTTCTAGAACAACCCTTCTTCAGCTCAGGAAAGCCAGCGAGAACAGTGGGAGATCTATGCCTTGTGAAATGAATGCTGTTTAACGAAAAGGACATTGAGTGTCTACCCAATTTTTAGTCAAAAAGGAAAAAAAGTTACAATTTTTTCTCTCAGCTGCCACAGTCTGTGGGACAAGTGTAAGACTCCCTGGGACCATGTAATACACATTCCGAGTGAAAGCGAGACAAGACCAACACTGGAAGTTTGCTGCTTGGACCTCGCAAACTCTACAGTGATTAATTTTGCAGATGCAAATGTAATTTAAGGGGACTAGAACGGGAAAGCGCAACTGGCGTAGTACGCTGTCCTGGAATAAGACTTCCATCCATGACAGTGTAGTCAAGAGCCTGTGCTTCTGGGCTGTCACCACGGTGAATGTCTTGGGAGAAATAGAAAGCTGGGCATGTGGGCCCGCAGCAGTAATCCACCACTCAGGAGGCAGAAGACACCAGTTCGAGACATGAACTCCAGACTAGCTAGGCAAAGCTACACAGTTTCAATTAGCTGGGAGACTGAGGCAGGAGGCTTTCTATGAGTTCAAGGCCAAACTAAGCTACAAAGGGAATTCTAGCCCATTCCAGAGTGAGACCCTGTCTCAACAACCTGAATAAATAGGACTGGAGAGATGGTTCAATGGTTAAAAATTCTTGTTGTTCTTCCAGAGGAACTGTGTTCAATCCCCAGTACCTAATTGGCTCACTACTGACTATCTCTAGTTCCAGAGAATCCACTGGCTTCTCTTAGCCTCCAAGGGCACCAGGTATGTACGTAGTGCACAGATATACACACGGAAGGAAGGAAGGGAAAAACGTAAATAAACAAGAACAAACAAATAAATGAAGCCACTCACCGGGCCCAGACCGACAGTTCTAGAATCCCTGGCTATCAGAATCGATAGGTACAGAAGAGATTCCTGCATGCTGCAGCATTTTCAGGAGGAAAAAGGATTTGAGGAGAGGCGGATAATTCTCAGAGGCCCTACAAGTAGAGAGAGGTACAGCTGGAACTCAAGTCCAGGACTGTTGTCTCCAGATCCTCAGTTTCTCATTGGATACCCTCTGCCTTCAGATTGCTCTGAAACACACAAGCCCCATTGCTAAAAGCTTTCTGAGATCTTTCATTTTTCACCTTAACTGGTTGTAGATATGATTTCGGAGTTCGAATCAAGCCAGATCTGCATGGGGTCGTGTCTACTCAGACTGAAGCATGTTTGTACTTTTAATTACTACCTGAGTTTTACAAGCCGAATAGCTTTTTCCTAAGCAACATTTCACCTGTTCAGTAACTGCAGAGGGTCTGTTTCCAGAGCAAGAGTATACACGTTTGCCATGGACTTTCCTGTGGTGGCCTAAGGAGTCAAGAATGCTATGGAAATTCATGCTGAAACAAGAGCTTTGGGGCCCCGAGTGTCCCTCCAGGGAAATTGTTCTTTCTCTTTGTTTACGGAGCTGATGAAGGATATGAATCCTCCATCCGGGAAAATTGTATGGTTCTTTTTTTCTTTTTAAGATCAGCCTCAGACTTGTGGTGATTTTCCCGTCTCTGCCTCCTGTGTGCTGGGGTTATAGGCATACTCCAGCACACCTGGAAAAACGCTTGTGAGGACACAGGGCTGCCCTGCCTGCCAGTTCCAAGTTCTTCCATATCTGCTGACCTAAGCTGTACATATTATCTTCAGCTCACATTTTCAGGGTACAAACATGAAATTAAAAATAGGGAGAAATATGGGCCATTGAGCCAACAGCAATTAAAATTGACTCCAAAGTTCCCTAAAATAGCTATTGCAATTGCAGTATAAATCAGGAGCAACTCCCAATGCAAGTCTGGAAAATGGATGTTTGCCTGGCTTAGTGATGGCTTATTTGCCCGCTTGAATGAATGGGCTTATTTTCTGTCTTCCAGTTTTCTCCACATCCACCAAAGGAGATCTCAAGGGAGAAGTTTAGAGAAAACAAAGACACAAAAAGAAGTGTCCATTAGAGTGAGAACCCAGAAAAGTTGTGAGATGAGAGACCAGAATCCCCAGCCCTCCTCCCTGTTTGCTCCTCAGGATCAGAAAGACATTTGGTAGTAGTGGACTCCGGGCTTAGAGTTTGTGGTCACAATGTTCAGTCAAAGTATCTTTAAATACCAAGAAGAGAGGACAAGATAGTCAGGAATGACAAACATGGTCTTAATTAATGCTTTCCACTGAATTAGAATTCGAAGATCAGTTGCTAGCAGGGCCTGCGATCCCAGCTCTTGGGAGGCAGAAACAAGAGGATTGTGAGTTCAAGGCAAATTTGAGTTCCTTTGGGGTATTTAATGCTAACTTAGGCAGCTGAGTAAGGCCCAGTCTCTCTCTCTCTCTCTCTCTCTCTCTCTCTCTCTCTCTCGCTCTCGCTCTCGCTCTCGCTCTCGCTCTCTCTCGCTCTCTCTGTCCTGGGTAGAGTAGAAGCCACCCATGAGCCATTCCCTCAAGACTGCCTATGTTGCCCAAGGGCACCACTGCTCAGATATTCCAGCTCCAGGGTTAACTGTTTAAAGTTCTACAGCAAAGAGGTGCTATGGGGTCTTATGTGTTGCTAGAAGTCAGAGCCCTGGCAAATACTGTGAACTGAGAGCGAGCCAGCTTCAACAGGGAGGAAACGGTGCTTTCTTAATTTAGGTTTATTCTTTGGGTGTCTAGAAAAGAAGGCGGTACCCAGATTCTAGGCCTTACATCTCCCCTTGAAGAGGGGTTGAAGCTCTAAAGTTGTTTCCCAGCTAGGACCTCAGAGGTTCCCTTCTAGAACCTGGCAGGTTAATTGTCAGCCAACAGAGCCACACGCCAAGGGCAGTCCTGCAGGCACATACCTGCGGCAGTTTCATGTCATTTATATCCCAGCTCAGTATCTCCTTGTCTTCAGGATCAAAGTCGTCCGGTTCCATGATAAGGTCGGGTCACCACAGGCTTCCCTCTGCTCAGCTTCTCAGAGACGTGCGAGAAAGCTCTCGCTCTCGTAACTGTGTCTGGCCACGCAAGCAGCCCAGGGGCTTGTTTTCCAAAGCTAAGAAAATAGACGATAGCAATGCTGATGATTTAAAAGATTAAAACTGTGAAGCCAGATGTGTGGTGGTTCGTACCCCAGAGCCTGAGGCAGAAGATTGCCACGAGTTCAGGGCCAGCCTGAGTTACAGTGTGAGACTGTGTCAAAGGAGGGCGGTGGTGGCTGAACAGGTAAAGGTGCTCGCCACCAAGCCTGAAGATTTGAGCTCAGTTCCTGGACCCCACATGGCAGAAGGAGAAAACCAGCTCCCACAAATTTGTCTTGTACCCTCTGTACTGGTGAACACACACTCATAAATGTTAAAATAAAAGCAAAAAACAAGTAAAACAATAGAAAAATCCACTTATCGCCTGTCCGCTAGAAATAGCAAGTCCGCTGACATTTTTGCAAGTACCGACGGCTAACGAAAAACAAACCGCCGAAGCCACTAGGCGGGCTGCAGTGGACTTGTCTAGGGTTCCAAGACACTGGCCACAGCCTTTGTCTTCAGATTTGGGTTTCCTTCCTCATTGCTAGATGTCTTCGTTAAGAGAGTCTTTGGAACCGCTATTGTCTGGAGCCAATGGCTTAAACCTATTTCTACATAAATTATATAAATTTACATAAAGATACACAGTGAACCTAGGATATATCCCCATAGCGATTTAGATTAAGAAATATGTTCATAGATAAACTCCCAGGAACTGTTCCTCACCTTTCCAAGATCAGCTACAGCCCCGTGGTAACAGCCCCAAGAAACATGAAGTCCCTTAAGCAAACGCAGGTATTCAAGACTGTATGCATACTTGAGAAGGTTTCTGTCTTTCTTATTTTTGTTCCTGAGTCTGTGGTACTGAGGATTGACACCCGGGCCTTACGCTGCACCACAGAGTCCCAGCCACGGCTCATTGCCTGTAACTTCTAAGTAAATTTCTATGTTTAGGAAGAAATTGTTGAGCTGCTGAGAAAAGAACTGGTGGACACCCTAATTGCGGTAGCTTAAGTGACAAATACAGAAGGTGTAAATATTAAGTCACGACCATAACTCCCTTAGCCGAAACTTGGTTTTAGCAAATTAGAATGGATATGATCCACAGAACACTTTACATAAAACAGAACAGATGAAAAAAAAAAAACCCTATACTGTCAAAACCTAAAAATACCGCTCTTAGCTGAGGCTAGATACTTGCTTTTAAATTAAGAGAAGGGGAATAAAATTTTTACTCTAAAAGATTATAGTCATTTTTAAGACTTTAAAAACCATTCTTCCTTGACACACACTTTTATGGAGTAAGCGTTAACTTAGTATTTCCCTAAAAAGTTAAGATCAAAATACTGAAAAAAAAACCCAGCTTTATCCCTTCAATAAGTAAACTCAATCTTTCGCCACGATTAAAATAAAAAAAAAAAATCAAAGTTGTCAAGACCTCCCCCCCACACACACACACACACTTTTTTGAAGCCATTTCATCGTTTTTACAGACCGTGAGCTGGGGCAAATAAAGCCGCGTCTTAGAGGCCTGCGGCCATGAATCACTTACACTTTCTTCCGTCTGCTCCTGAGTCCTCCCTTCAGGCTTCTTGTCCAGGTGTCACCCAAGTGTCAGCTCTGGTTCAGGTCCTGCAGGCTCTGGTCATCTCGGAGTGGACGCTGTTCCCTAAGCCAGGTCAGGGTACACTATGCTAATGACTCTGGCAACCGTCCAATCAAAATCAAGATGCTTTCTGCTAGGGACAGGTAGGAGCAGCCTGTCTCTTCTCCGGGTGCCAGTCATGTGATGAATATTCTATGGGATGCTTCTGAACTTTCCCCTCTTTTATTTTAAGAGGATGTCTAACTTAAAGTGATGGAGGGAGCGGGGCGGGAATGTCCTGGGAAGATGTACAGATCTTTTTCGCTTTTCTCCTGGTAGTTGTGTAGGTCAAATCCAAGAGCCACCGAGTCACAGAAGATGAGTTTCCCATCATTTGTCCTGCCTGCGTGTGAGAGAAGGCAGACACAGACTCCATGGTGACAGCGGAAATTATTGAAATAGTTTTTAGACAGCTAACATCCCCTGAACCAGAAACATTGAGTGCTATCCTACCAACCTAATCCGTTAGCGTACCAAGCCTTCTGATTAATTCAATTCTTTCTCAAGATGTCCTCAGCGAGTTCTTGCCTCTAGAAATATCCTCAGGACACCAGGGTGCCTAGCTCCTCTCCTGTGTCAGTCTGGGTTGTATGCTGGGCTCTGGAGACAGAAAAGAGAATCAAGACATCAAGAAGTTCGGTATAGCTCAGGGTGCTGGGGCAGGGCTGTAATTTTAGAAGGCAAATCGAGAGTGTCTCTGTGAGTTCAAGGCCAGCCTGGGCTGGACATCAAGCCCCTCTCTGGTGGATCTTTTCTCACTGCCATGTCTAAACCTTATCCATCTTTCGGAACTTGTAACATGCCCTTCCGATCCCTTCCAACGTTGCTCTAAAACACATGACTTCTCATCTCAATAGCATTCCAGAACACCTCTCTGTATAGCTCAGAGCCAACATTTTTTTATAATGACAAAATAAAATCAGCATCTTTTTTTTTTTGGTCATTGTTGCTAATTCATAATGCAAACTTTTAGGCATCCACACTACTACATTTCGTCATGTCCTCTCAAACTCCCGTTTTGTTCTATATATTCCAGATGTAGATGCTGTTTTCTTAACCCTAATCCTACTGTTTGTGGGATTGCCTCTCCTTGTGGGCACGGATCTCTGCTGACTTCCCAGCAAGGATCTGTTTGAGTTGAGGGGGTTTTCTTCACAGGGAGCTCTGCTGGGTCCCAGCTGCACTGTCAGAGTCATCCCTGTCCCAAGCACTGGTCCTACCTGGTGACAGCAGAGTGAGCTCTGTATCCTAAGGATGAGGTCTCAACTTGCCACTCCTGACCTCTGCCTACTGACTCTGCTGGTCTCAGACTCGCTATGTAGCAGAGGCTCACTTTAAACTTTTGGCCCTCCTTGCCTCCTCCCTCTCTCAACTGTCGGGCTTACAGGGAGCAGCACACACAGTGTGTTGATGTGGCTAATGGCAGCATTAGCCATAGTAACCTCCCTTGACTGCGCTCTCCCGATGAATCAGATGCCACGCTGGGGCATTTCCCTAACTTACATGTGGTACTCACCGCATCTCTACCAGCCCCTACTATGCCTCCTTGGCAGGTACCGCCAGCATGTTCACCTAGGTACTGTTCTTATATGTCTTGCTCACAAAGAAGGAGATTAAACCTCAGAGAAACAAAACTGCATGGTCAAGTTTCCCTTGACCATGAACTGCAGCGGACCCTGATAGGCCAGACATCCTGTCTCGTCAGGGCCAGCCTCTTTGCAAGCAGAAGTCTCCATGTCCCCTTTCCACTTCTGCATCCTTCCTGGACAAGGAACCTGCCTTAAGCCATGTGGTTAGAAGCCTTTCCTCTCACAGTCCCTGTCCATCTGCCACCAGTCTATGGGGGTTTTTCTGGCTTATTCCATGGGTGTAACAGTGATGCTCTATGCTTGGGGTGGGAATTGTCTCTTGCACCAAATCGCTAGCCATTACATCCCAACAACATCCTACTCTTGGTGGACTTATAACCCAGGTCTCAGCCATGTTCGCCATTGTCAAATAAGAATCATATCTGCAAGAATCATAACGGGGAGAATCATAATGTGAGCCTCGCTCTGGTTCAGGACCTCTCAGTCACTCTTGGTATTGATGGCTCTGCCTAGCTATGACCTCTGGTTTCTACCCAGTGCAGGGACTTCTTCCACACTTACAACTGTCCTTCCAGAATCTGCTTCAATCAGTGCTCCAGAGTCTAATTCTCTCCTTCAGCCATTCCTGGTCTCTTTATGGAGAAGCCTTATTAACACTCATTGTGACTTAGGTATCATACCAGATTAATCCTTACAACTGCCTCAGTAAATAGATATTATTAAGCTATATTAGTTGAAACTATAAAGAGGCCCAAGGAGGATCAGAGTCAATTTTTATAAGACCGTTAAGTAACCAAAAGATTTTTTTTTTATCCCAAAGCACTGATTAAAGGAGGAATATCAACTAGAGATGGGTGATGTTAAAAAAACATCTCCTGGGCTATGGAACAAAACTGCCTGTTATTCTGGCTCCTTCTGTGACCAGCATTCTAGCTGCCTCCTTACCTTACCCTCGTTTACAAACCTGCCTTCCCCTGAGGCTATCTCTTAGAACTCTTTGTCCCTTCTGGGATGGGACCCAGCCTCACCCAGCTTCTCCCTGGAATTTTCCAAATTAGAGATGGAAAAGGTGAGCCTTTCATCTGGGATGCCGAGTGGAAGGCTGACCTCAGACCTGCTGATGAACAATCTCTGCCGCACAGCAAAGCAGGAGAGGATGGAGCCGGCCAGAGGAGGGAGTGGCTAGGAGGGGAGCAGAAAGCCTGGACACCAGCCCAAGGCCAGCTGAGTCCTCAAGCATGCCACTGGGTGACACAATACATGTCTTGCATACTTTCAATCCTTAGAACTAGGGTTTTCAACATACACCTGAAAGAGATCTGTGAACACACCCCCAGCTCCTAGTCCAGGAGCCTGGAGCTCGCCCATGCTTCTAAACGAACCACCCGCCTTTGTCATTACCAGTCTAAAGGTGAGACTGGGTTTGTCTGATGTACCTTAATATTAGTAGAGGCTTTGTGAAGCCTCACCCAACTCAGCATGAAGGACACAGAGAAGGACCGCACTATGAGCCCTCGTAGATGCCCAGCTCCTGCTGATCCAGAAAGACTCAAAGGATGGTCCAGAGATCCCTTTTCTGCCATGTGCAAAACCGAACTTCAGGGTTTTCCTCTAGGGTTCTGCAGATGTTAAACGTGAAGCCTTAGGCGATTTCTCCAAGTACTACAAACCCCTGCAGTTCCAAAACCAACCTGGGGCATATCAACGTGGGTTCTTGCCTGTTTCTGTTCTAAGAAAGGAGAGGTTGGCCTGCGTTCTCTCAGGCTGTCCCAGATG